GGGTTTCTGTATCATCATATCTTCAGAAAGTTACAGTGAACAAAAGGAAAAAGGGGACTCTACAAAATTATTTTTTGTATGTAATTTCTAAATGCATTTCATTTTCGACAATACATTTGGAGTTGCTGGTGCCCTCGACAGTACAAAGAAAAATACAGACACTAATTTTTATTAAGAAAATAAATTTAATTAATCAAAAATCTACCCTCCAAAATCAAAAATCAGGTGAAAAGCCTGGATAGGCCGGAAAAGTGGTGTAGTGGAAAGTGGCGCCCACACTAGTACCCGCGCATGGCCCGTTTTGTATCTACCACTCCTCCATACACGAATGTTATTGCAAGAAGGGATTTAGTAGATGCCTAATTCTTTTTTTTTTGACTTTTTCCTCCCACTTACATTACCTTCTACTTCGTTTACTGATGCTTAGAACAGGTTCGATAGGGAAGTGTTCTCAGTGAGCCAGTACAGCCCCGTGCCTAGATAAGTCCCAGGTGATAGAAAAGTCTCGAGAAAAAAGTAAAGTTAAGATACCTAAGATCAAGAAAATCTGTTTGAATTCGTGCTGAGAAAGGTCGTAACAAAAGGTTAGTTTTAAAGCCATCAATGTCAAAAATTGTTATCGATGACCATGGGGATCACACACAGGAGACGGGCAGTAGGAACGGTTTTGGGTAATCATCCGCGTCACATTCCTTCGCGCGCGGCGTCTCTCTTCCCGCGGCGCGACAATTTTGTTACTATTGCATCACACCCTAGATTGTTGGTACGTTCTTCTAAAGTGTCCTTATGCATTCCACTTTTATTCAGAACATTTTATCCTCCCAAAAAAGCCCCACACCCGTTAGCCGAGCATGGCATCCACATACTGGACCTCCAGATCGCGTGAAAAAAGGCATGTCACTTCAGGTGTGGTATCAGTAATGGTAAAATTGAGGAAAAAGCAGATACAAGAAAACCTTACCTGCACATTCGCAAGAACAGGTTGCCATAGCTTAACCTTACATTATTAGTCGCTTTGTTATCGTCTGATTTTTAGCCTAAATCCTTGAAAAGAAATGTTTTTTGATGCTTGAACGGCTTAGAAAACTAATTTTTAACCCAACACACCTGATCATAATACTGCTCTTCCATGCAAATGAAGGACTGATCTAATTGATCGTGTCGATTCCCTACCACTCAGCGACCGACAACAGCAGAGCACCAGATTATGGCATCTCATGTAAAAATCTGCTGGGATATGGTAAGAATTGAACATTCAGTTGGCTCAACAACACCCATGGTCGCCCCTTCTGAAAAGTGAGGAAAAAAAACTATGATTTCCATCTGTGGAATGCTCCTGAGCGTCATTGTGTGCGAGCGAAGTAGATTGCCCTTCCTCTGCGCGCTAGCGCTCGATGTTGGGGGAGAAAATGCAGCCCTTCCTTGCGCTGATACATTTCTATCAAAATCTTATTATTATTTAGGGAAATTGTATTCAAAGAAGCTTTGCCCACTCAGTAAGCATAGCAAAGGCAATTCATAGGACAAAACTGCCAGAAAGGCACCTCCATCCGGGATAAAAGGATACAACTTGCCGGGTGTTTCTTATTTGAAAAGGGCCCAGTAGACAATCAACAATCAGAACTTTATTTTTTAAGACTGAGAAGAGCTCGCTTCTACACCAATCTATTTTTGATATGCTACTATTTCATGAAAAAAATAGAGGAGGATAACCCGTCAAATCTAACTGGTCTACGCAGATATTAAAAATCGAAATATACAAATGTAATGTGAAGAATCCAAATGAAAATTCCAAAACAACACATGTTCAAGAGTTTTCGGTGAAAATGTAGTTGGGGGGTGCCAGCGCCCTTCCGTCTCGTTGCTCTGCGTCTCTGACCAAGGCGGCAGAGCACCCGGAGTGCGGATATGTTCGCTTAATAGTGATAGGGAATGAATGCTTTATTGAGGGGAGGAGCTCCGGGATGGGTGAGAAGTAAACGTAGTGTAAGGACAAGTGAAAGTTGCGATATGGATGGATGGGTTAAACTTGAGGAGTTTGACTGCAATAAAACGATTGCGCACCGTGGACGCAGTGCACGCGTCGACTGAAGTTGTTATTGGGGAGCTATTCCAGATCATTCCAACTTTTTGCACAACATCTACTTCTCACCCACTACGTTTACTTCTCACCCATCCCGGAGCTCCTCCCCTTGTTAAAGAATTCGTTCCCTATCATCATTAAGGGGACATATCCGCACTCTGGGTACTCTGCCACCTGGGTCAGAGACGCAGAGTGACGAGACGGAAGGGTGCTGGCACCCCCAACTACATTTTCACCGAGTTTTCGAATAAACATGGAAATAAAGTGTTCAAGAAGGAACGGCTGAAAAAAAATGGAGGAAAAAGAAAAAGGTATGCCATTCTGAACGATATGGGACACATTTCGTTATAAAATCGTTCGACGTATCGATTTTTTATGATCTCAAATCTCAAGAAATCGATAAGATGTAAAAAAAAAGGATGGGTTGATGGATGCAACAATATAGGAGTTCGCTGTAATCAATCCAAAGTGGGTGAAATCGATGCTCGATATAGATCACCGCTACGACCAAGTAGCCAATAGGTCTGCATAACACCTTTTCCCTGAAAAATTTGATTAATCATTGTTTTGATTTCATAAATTTGATGCTGTTTAAAAAAATAGTTGTCAACTAGAAGTAACATTAACCGACAAAGGCCTATCTCGTATAATTCTGGGGCAGATATGGGTGAGATTACTGTTTTGGAATGACTAGGTAGAGCAAAATATCTTCTTTCCAATTGTCGGAAATCACTAATTTTAATGTTCTAAAATCCTACTATCCCATATTAGTAATATAAAAGATTGACATTGATCAAGCCCTTTTTGGAATACGCCCAACATTCGACTTCTAATCAGTTTCATAGTGACGTGTTGAATGTGTTTCTTCCCCATACAATGACTTGGGGCGGTCAGCTGATGTACAAGTCAGTACTTTTATCCCCTTAGACGAGTCTGGCAGCAACCAATCTAGCACCTTCGCCCGGTTTTAATAATACTTCTAGGAATATGGGAAGAAGCATGTTCTGCTGCTGCACAGATATATAGAGTACGCCCTATTGAAACCATATTCCCAATGAACTGTAACACAAATACTATGCTAATAGATAATTATTGCATTTGTATAGCGAAAGGTACAGTATGAGGGGCGTGGCAAGCGTTGTCAACGAATCGAATGCAACGCCTAACCCCTAGTGGTAGCTCCGCCTCCAAATGAATAAGTCGATGAAGGGCATGAGATTAGAATGGAAAAAAGCATAAAAATCAATAGGGCTCGGCATTTTTAGGAAACTTTCAAAGAGGTTCGTTTGCAACGGAATATTCACTCAAACACCAATCCCCACTTATAATTTTTGTCATTCACACACCATTTTACTCACTGCCTTCCATAAATTGTTCAAAATCAGGCGCTTCCCAGCTATATCGTATAAAAATGATGCTTAAAGGCACAGCTTACGATAATTTTGGGTAACCCATATTATAAAGAAAATGGACGATATGATGGAAAATAGTGCGATGAAGGCGAGGGATCTGCGTAGTAGACCTTGAAAATCATTAAAAAGGGGGCTGGACGAGAAAGAGAACAGAAAAATCAAGAAAAGAGGGGCGTTTGGACGAGCTATACAATGTGTCTCACTGTGTACGTGTGGGTCCTGGTGCAAATAACTGATTACGGTAAACAAAATTCATTCACTTATTAGCATAACTACGCAAGAAACCCTAGTAGCAGCAAAAGTAGGTAACTTTTTCAGCCTCTAGGAGTACGAAATTAAAAAAGGGATCGCGGCAGCAAAAAGAATAATATAGGAAAGAAGAATAGGAGAAAATCATCGTCTCAACACTCGGCGAATAGCTGATTGTGCGTGGGTCCCAGAACGAATAATTGAACTGTATTGCATTGACCCTCGTCTTAGGTGACATCGATCGGGAGGCGGGAAAGCCACTTACGACAGCAACAGGGCCTACACTATGTCCTAATCGTCGAGATTGTGGGAGCGAAAGGATCCCTTCTACCACCCATGGGAGCCACTGAGTATTCCTATGAGGAGAATTCAGTAACCATTTTCATCGTGAACTGTGCCTTCAAAGAAAGTCTTTATAGAAAGCTCGTTGTGTTTTAAAAATGCACTCATACCCGCAATGGCTCATCAACATACACTGCGTATAGCTGACGGTGATGAATCGTATGATTACCTTGATTATAACTTCTCCTCTCGGCTCAACATCAAAGCCTCCGACTTTCATGATAAGGTGTTGAGCTTCGGATGACAGATGAATTTTTCCAGCTGAAAGAAAAGTTGTATGTCACTCTTACAGAATGTGCGCAATATGGCCCAGTTGACAAATTCGCCGAAGGTTCAGTAAGTATAGGGTATAATCTATCTCCCAGAGGGTGTATGTCGTTTGGCGCGATCCCTGCCATCGCGCCGCGTATTCGAAGCGGTTTAAGAGCTGGACAACTCGTCCAGTCGATCGAGGAACCCGTTAACCATCCAGCTGATCGAAGCCGCATCGAAGACGCTGCACTGATAGGCAGAATACAAGCAGGTCCACAATGAGGCGTTTAATAGTAGCGGCTCATCGATCGAGCTGGATGGGCGTGGGTTGATCAATCACCTATAACTCGTCCATTTTACATGAGAACTTCGCATCGCGTACGACGGTGAAATAAAAGTTGTTAAAAAACATAACGTCAAAGCACAGAACCTACTAGCACCTTCATAGTAGCATTCCGGATGGAATTACTAGCTTTGGATTTCTTATCCCACCATCGCGCGGAGTATTATGGCAATGGTAGAGTACCGATGAACTTGAATGAGGTCTCGATATTTTTGTAAATCCCAATAGGACTTAGGTGAGGTAAGTTTTCCCCGTGGTCTAGGAAGTATGACTTCGCATCAAGTAATTAATTGGATGGATGGAAAGTAATTAAAAAAGACTAACGTTTTCCATTGCTCTCCATTCTGCTCGCCGTATTGACCGTATCACCAAAAAGACAGTATCGAGGCATGGTTAGACCCACAACGCCAGTAACTACGGAGCCTGAAGATGAAAATATTTTAGAACAACTACTTTTAATTGGCATTATGGGAAAGAAGGGTAACGGAACTTTTTCCCGGTTCGCTTTGCGGCATGCGGCAAATCTTTTTAAGTTGTCTTGGGGCTCCGAACCGCAATTACCGTACTCGGCCCGCCTCCCGTCAATCGATGAATCGCAATGTTTCTCATTGACTGCCTTTCTTTTTTTATTGATCTCGTTTGTTTTTTCTGTCTTTTTCGTTTTTATGTTTATTAGACTTGAATATTCAAAATAACTCCTCCTATACTAGCGACGATCAAGACCGCATTGGAATTTAAGGGAGCGGCTAGCGAATTCAAGTAATTAAATCACTAACCCAAAAATTGCGCGCTCCAATCTTCCATCGCAATTCTGCGATACGCGGCGGATGCGCCGAGCGCGATGCCGTGTTGAGGGGNGGGGGGGGGGGGGGGGGAGAGATACCGGACCCTGGGAAAGAATGATCTCAGATAACGTATATGTATATTTGATAGGGTCCCTACTTTATGCATGGCTAGTCTAAGCCTCACTTAGCATGTAATTTTATATTTTCGTGACAATTTACATTTCACTCACAACTACACCTCTTTCACCAGCCGTCCCATTGATCATCACTTTACTCGAGCGCTAATAACGTCTTAAGTGACCCTGTCGCGAGCCAGTGAAGGTTGATAGACCTCTCTTGCTCGAGGAACAGGAGGCATCGAACCCGCACTTGTGTCCGGAAAGGAAAAGTACGGGTTTGAGCCCTGTCTGATGCTGAAGTTTTGTCCATAAATCGCCATCCTTGTGAGCTTAGCATTCATTTTATTCACAGCTCACTTGAAAAGATCTAAACACTGCACTGGGGCCATCCTGGTTGTCGTTTGACGTGCAGGAGGGCTCAATGACTAATTACACTGATCTGAGTGTCATCACAGGATCGCATGACGTGCTGCTCTCCATCCTTCCTATCGAATTCGCGTAAAATGTTTATGTGCCTGTGCTTGGAGCTGTCATACTTGAGCGTTGAGCGTTGGGCGCCGGCGCGAAGCGCTTGTAGGCCGCCTTGGCGTCCCGCCGCTGACAGTCTTCGCGCTGGAGCTTATTTTCAAAGTGGTTGCGTACAGCTTTTTCATAATGATATGTTTTTTCTCGTAACATCCCGTCATAGTAATCAAAGAACAATGGAACCTAATTGCAAGTACAAAGAAATGACAAAGTGAAAAAATAAACCAATGAGAACTTCCTCAGATTATTCACCACTCAACTGTGCTGCATCGATCGACGACAGCGTTATCAATAGAGCGCGCGCTCAACGCTCAATGCTCTACTATGAATGATGGACTTCCAGCAAAGCACCATACATTTCATTTATCGTCCACCCATTTAGGTCATCATATCACGCATCAAACTCACTAATTATTGCCCTTAATTATTCATATTCTTAACTTGGTTCTCACTGCATAGTACTGGAAAAAAAGGTAAAAAGGGTTTCTCGATACTTTCTTGTCAATAGAATGGTAGGGCTCAGCCGTTGAAAGAGAAGAATTTAGCATTCTCTTTACAGTTTTTCACGCTAGATACAATGAATACTAACCGGTATGGATTCCAATTCGTAGATTGACACCCTGCTGAGGTAGATGAGGTACCCTGAAACTCCTAAGGCTGTCTATGAATCCAAGCGACATGCTGCAAATTTCTTGAATATGCCGTTGCCCGTTTCTATGAGGTAGTCCACTTGCACAAAGGTAACCATCGCCAATCGTTTCAACCTGAAGTGTAGGTAATACACTCAAAATAAAACGAAAAAGATCATTAATTTTTATAATGATAAGACGGGAAAGATAGACACGCATTTCAGATCATTGTAGAACTTTCCCTTCCCTAACTTCCCATGACTCAAACGGGGAATGGGAACCGCTTGGTTTCAAAACATACTCAATCTGAAACGGAATTGAAATTCGACAAATCTCTTTTCGCTCAAGTAAAGGAGTACTAAGACGCTTGTTTTTNTCAATCCCCATTCATCGGAGCAGTATTAAAAGTTGAAGACAACTCAAATGAAGGAACTGCATGGATCGGTGTTTCCGAAGTCAAAAAAGGAAACCTCAGGGGAAAAAGGAACCTTTATAACTCCCTATCTAGGCCGTTTCGAGGTATGAGAGCGCCTCATGCGGCATTTGGGGGTCCTACAAATTCATTCAAGCGGGATATTTCAAATGCCATTTTTATCGTGAACTGTTAAGCATCCGGTAAAACTTATGGTGAATGTTCTCGATTGAAAGGTAACTTGCCTTGTAGACATCATGAGCATCGATTATGCCATCAAAGATTGTGTAGAGACTATTCAGAAGACTGACCACCTGAAAGAAAAGTAATTGTAAACCAAGAGGGACGTTGAGTCAAATCGCTGACTTTTATTTGAACGTTTCTGATTTCATTCTTGATAGGAATCAATTAAAAGTGGGTCTAGGGGGAATACGAACTGACAATAGATGTAAGGGGAAAGATCCAACGAGAAAGTAGTACAAGGGGGACATTTGAGATTTACGGGAAACGGCTTGATAGGTTGTTAAAATTGATAAAATAGTTCGGTTTAACTTCGTAAGGCGTGTAAAAAAGCGGAATATCAAGTGATACCTGCATTGGATTACATTTAGCGGCGAGAGTTGTAAATGATACTACATCCGAAAAGAACACGGTTACGCTCTCAAAGGTCTCCGGTTCTACAGATTGTCCGAGTTTCAATTTTTCGGCCACTTGTCTGAAATTAAGAGCTGGAGGAATTATTCACTATCATTAATTACAACATTTGAAAGCCAACAAATGTAAATGTAAAATTATGAACAAAATAGTGATCAAAGATGCCTTCCATAACATTGCTGAGACTGCCAAAGTTCAAAAATCCCGTGCTTTCAGCGTAAGAATAACTTCACTGGAAAACCAAGACCTCAAAGACATGATTTACGGTAGAAATGGATTCCCCGGGACGTACTTGGGGAAAAAGAAACAAAGAAAAGAGAATCCAGCTGGAAGAAAATTCAGAGGAAACGTTCAAGAAGCCATTGCTGAACCACAAGGGGAACATTGCTGGGTCAAAAAAGGTTTAGAGTGGGCGTAAGAAGGGATTCAAAAGAGGTTTGCCGACGTTTACATCCAAAATTGGCCGTGCCATAACGGCCTTGTTGAGGCTGTACCATTCCCAATGAAGGGTCAACACGCCGTCGAATATTACGCTTCTGTGAGAGACGCCGATGATTACAGGCATATAATCTCGTACGACCCTTTTTCATTTCTTTTTTAGGCCTATGTTCCTTAAAATCCACCGATTTGTGCGCTCTCCTCGCCACCTTTGCATTATTCTGTACCAAAATTTCCATTATTCCATTCGAGCTTTACTTCACAAAATTACCGTAAACTGTTCTTTCGAAAGTGGGGTTCAATTTTTTAAACTCACTTAGGTAACATTCGATACAATAAGCGATCGCTCTTCTTTTGTTCTTCAGCTAATTGTTTCGTTCGATCTTCAACTTCTCCTTCCAATGTTGAAGCGTATTGTTCAAGCATATTAAAAACGTAATCCATCAAGTTTCCACTTCTAAGCAAAAAAGCATAGAATAAATTTAGAACGGTGCTTGTTACAGTTTGTTTTGCTTATACTTGCAACCAGTCAGGTCGCCCGGCTACGCCGGACGCTCTTCCTTCATGTGAGATGCGTAAATAACACTTCTAATTCTTATTTTTCCTTGAAAGCTCTACATCCTCAATATTAGCTCCGAATTAAAAGCGATTTTTCTGCAAGCCATCTTCGCCGTGTCCGATTAGAACACCGCATAGTATCACAAAGGCGATTATTCAGAGAAAAAAGTATTCAGAGACTTCATCGCGGCTGAGTCTATTTCGTTGGCTACCATCAATGTTACCAACCAACTCCTGTGCCTCCAAGTTTCAACGGTCTGGGCCGAACTAGCAGTATCTATTCACCCTCAGCCCTTTGAGACGGAGTTGAATCTTGCATCCTATCATCAGTGTTCCTATCCTGCCTCTGTATTCCTACCAAGTTTGGTCGCTCTAGGTCCATTTTGACATTTCTCTGCAAGCCCCGCCTGCTGAAGGAGTTATGACTTTCCGCTCAAACCCCACCCATTGCGGGCAGAATCCAGTCCTGCCATTCACACAAGTGTTCCCATCCTGCCGCCCGTACTCCTACCAAATTTGAACGCTCTAGGGCCAATTTTAAGTTTTTCACACACCGCACCCCCTTGAGCGGATTCCGGTCCTGCTACTCACTATAAATGTTCCCATCCCGGCGCCTGTACTTCTACCAAGTTTTAACGCTCTAGGTCCGCGGGGTCAAGAGTTATGAGTATTCGCCCAAACCCCGCCCACTGTGGGCGGAGTCCGATCTTGCCACCCACCATAAATTTCCCATCCTACCGCCTGTGCTCGTGCCAAATTTGAACTCTCTAGGTCGACGAAGTTATAAATTTCTGGTGAAACACACACAAACACACAGACGGACAAACCAACAGACACAGTTAGCGCGTTATATACATATAGTAGGATGCTAATGCAAATTCAACTACGCTAAAAGCAACATGCGAATGACTTTTTTTGTCACCTAACTAGCATGGCGATTGATTTTGGCAAAATTCTCAATTTGTACAGACTTTATCTAATTATACCTGTTCAAATTTATGTTCTTCAAATTAGATTTAACCATATCTATATCGGGCCTCTCGGATGGACGTTCTGTCCAACAGTCGCGAATAAGATGAAGCTGAAAGAAAGCCTCTGAACATTGAAAAAAAAACATAATGAACTTGGCACTTGAGCTTCATGTAGTTTCCACTAAACTTCAGTTCTATTTATTTTAATTTGTTTACTTACTTATTCTCCTTTTACCACACACACTATGCTTCGTTATTATACCAATTTACCCGCACAATGTACTTTTTTACTTTTTACACTTATAAACTTTTTCGAATACCTTCAGAATGTACCCGCCTATATACCTATGTACATGTGGTTTACCTGTCACCCATAAGTTCGTACAAACCCGGAACTTACAACTTTTTTCAACATTGAGCACCCATCAAATGTGGAAAAATCTCCTGATTCACGCATGTAATACAAACAGCTGATCTTCCGGGTCCATGACCTTCACTGTGATACGAGGGTTGCCTTTTATATTTCGGAATTGGGCAACCCTTGTGTTACAATCTGGCAACTGACAGCTCTATCGTAAAATTTGACCTTTTTCAGGTTGTAGGTACCCAGAAAAACCTAACTTAAAAGATTTATTTCGGCCAAAAAATGGAAGTAAACCGTAAGCATTTTCGTGAATTATTTTTTGCAATTTTCGACGTGGATTAACTCAACAAAAGTACATGGATGATATTAGCCAATTTTGGGCGATAAAGGACCAGTATTATCGATGGTATGGTGAATTCATCCGAGATCATCATGTAGCCTATCGCGAGATTGAGGCAACGTTAAGAAGAGTGGTACCAGCATACTTTCAATATTGCATGAACATTTGTTTGTCAAAAAAAAATTTGTCAAAAAAAAACCCTTCACCACGGCAGTGCGAGCTTCCACACATCGGCTCAAGCAACTGCATTTCTGAGCGCTCAAACCATCGATTTGATGAGCAATCCACATATAGCCCTGGATTTGGCACCTTCACCTTCAAATGGCTTCTTTTTATTCCCGTACGTAGAAAATAAAATGAGAGGTCAACGTTTTTCGACACCTGAGGAAGCGATTGATGCGTTTAGAATGCATGTTTTGGAGAAACCTCAATCAGTGTGGCAAAAGTGCTTCGACAATTAGTTCAAACGCATGCAAAAGTGTATAGATCATGATAGGGGATATTTTAAAAAACAATGAAGCATTTTTTAATGGTTAATATTTATTTTTCTTCTCTAATCCCGAAACATAAAAGGCAACCTACGTAAATGCAGCCTCAGAAGGCTGTTATATCACGACCACTTTCGAGTGTGTGCGTCGATCAAACCAATTTGGAGCCCTTCTTAGGCGCTGTCGAGTTTGTTTTTTGACCCGACAATGTTGTTCTACGTGCTATCCTTGAGAGTTACGTGTTCATCACCTCAGGGAAAAGAATCAGAATCCATTCTAGTGGGCTGTAGTACCTTCGAGAAACTGGGGAGCCTAGTAAATTCAGCTAGTACAAGGAAAGCTTGAGACAACTTACCAGAGCAGGATTAGCTTCAACTTCATCACTGGTATTCAAGGAAGGACGTTGCTGATTATGTCCTCCTTTTTTCACCAAATAGAGAATTGCTGAAACGTTAAAACTTGTATGAAGCCGCAAGAGCGTCCGCCTAAATTTACATATTGCTGATCTCAATAATTTCTGATTGTATGCCATCAGGTACGAACACTGACGCATCCGAAAGCTCAACGGTAAGAGCTCCCTGGAATTTGCCCAAGCCGTTAAAAGCCGTTTACGAGCAGAGAACGGACTCTTTCATCTACGTAATCTCTTCTATACAACTTTGGCAGCCAACTGAGTTGACCACTAACATTTTCTTGCAGTCACACCCATTGCCGTTAAAATTTTCCTGCACTTTTAGCAGAAAGTGAATGCTAGTGGTCGAAAGGCTATCTTTTACTTTTCAGAAAGTTACCCTCAAAATGGAGTTGAATGTTCCAAAGATTTATTCCATGCAAGAAAACAAAGATCAAAGCAAAGACCCAAAACGATGTACCACCTGACTTCTGGCTATGTGCATACCTGAAGCATCTTCATTTCGATTATCTAGATCCCATGCAGAAGTTTTCGTGATCAGCTGTGCGCAAATGATAGCAAAGCTGAAAAAAATTGGCTTTTTCTCTGCACCTACTTTGTAGATTACAGAACTTCCAATCATCATGACGAATAGGGTTCCCTATCAAGGGCACGGTTCACGTTAAAAATGGTTACTGATTTCTTCCCTCAAAAATACTCAGTGGATGCTACAAGGGTCCCCTCGCTATCAAAATCTCGACGGTCAGGGCATAGTAGAAGCCCTGTTGCTGACCTGTGTCGCTTTCTCCCCTCTCGATCGATGTCACGTCAGACGAGTGTCAATGCTATAAAGATCGCGAATATTCTTTCTAGGACCCACGCACAATCAGCTAATCGCCGAATGATGAGGTGTTGTTATTCTCCAATTTTTTCCTCTGTTTTTCTTTTTGCTGCCGCGATCCCTCATTTAATTCCAGGGCTTTTTGTTTACATATGCTGATAAGTGAATGAATTTTTGCTTACCATAGTCTGTTATTCGCACCAGGATCCACACGTACGCAGTGAGACACATTGTATAGCTCGTCCAAACGCCCCTCTCTTTGATTTCTCTGGTCTCTTTCTCGTCTAGCCCCCTTTTTATCGGTTTTTCGGAGCCTCTTTCACATTTGAAACGAAAATTCACGCAGTTTCTTTACCTTCATCTCACTAATTCCGACCTGTCTTCCATTTGTCGTCATAACCTGGACTACCCAATATTATCGTTAACTGTGCCTTTAAGTTGAAGGTGGGATTCTTTATACCACGGCGCGTACGCGAGCGGTAAACCTTCCGATGACCAAAAAGGAAACACGCTGTACGAATTTGAAAACCAAATAAATCTCGATTCTTATTCGTATAGAAAAACGACACAAGTATGACGAAACGACTGTTCTACACTATCCAATAAAAGTAAAGCCAAATGAACCTGTAAATGTCAGCTTCTTTAGATGCTTCACCATCGCCTTTACGCAGTATTTCAGGAGCTGTCCATAACAAGTCTGTAAATGATCAAAGAAAAAAAGAGTTACTAAAGATAAATCGATTCCACCGCAAAGTAGTTTTCTAATCAAGTTTTCGGGATTGACAACAAAATTATGAATATGCCTGCTCTCATTCAACTCAATTGTATCATGCGCACAGCCTCTGTCGTTTATACTCGGCTGTGGAGTGTGGTATTATTTAACCAATCGCGTTTACAGCAACCAATTTACGCTGTGAAGGGGGAGATATGAAATTTTAGTGGATGGACACGGTGAATACCAGAAATCACTGCCGCCTGCCGTGGTAGAAATTCGGGTAGAAAATACCGCTCCCACCCGCTAGCGTTTATGCTTAGAAAATGATAGATGGATGACGGTTGGGTTCTCCTTGCAACTCAGCTAGAAACAAGGACATTTTCTTCTCGTAATTACAGTTTGAGCATTTTTTTTGGATCACTAGCACCCATGCATTTTCAAATTGAAAATTTCAAAATTTCCATCGACGAGCAGAAGACCGACTGACCTTCTGGTAACCGTTTGTCAAACATTCGTATTTTTCTCAGACCATAGCTTGATACTTTCGCTTGCCAACGATCATCCACGAGGCAACATTTAGATGTTAAAAAACCATGATACTCCAAGAACGATTGATGAATGAAAGCCAAACCCTGAAGACCCCTTCATAAATAATGATAGACTCTAAATACAAAAAGACCTTCCAAAAATGATTTGTGTTCTCTGACAAAGCATATCGGCCGTAGAAAATAAAATTTCAGCTCGTTTCAGAAACGTGTACCTTTTCAAAATGAAAAAATTTTCCAGAAAGAAGAAATGTTATCGACTTCCTACAAAGTTCCACACCAGCATTCACTTTACAAAGTTTACCCACGTGTGCAATATCTCGGATAAGTGAAAACACGAAGACGCTATCCATTGTCGTTGATCCTTTGGTGATTACATCGTTTATACTTCCTCGACTACAATGCTTCCATATTGAAAGTAGTTGGGGACCATCAAGGCAGACTCCAAGGAAACGATTGACATTGTCGTGTTCCATTTCTCTCAACTTAATCAACTTTTGAATAAAACAGAATTCAGATTCTGGTAACATGAAAAAAGCTCGTTATTTTCTCCCTATTTCAAGATACTCACCCCCTTGTCCATTCAAAATCATAGGGTGTATCGAACCCGCACTTCCTTACAAAAACACCTTTACAGTGGCTTGTAGGGCTAACTGATCTACAAATTAGTGCTTTTATCTTTCCAAACGAGTCTGGTACCATTCAACCAATTTTAAAAGGAAGATAAGCCTGCAAGGCTTGGACGAATATCGAGCCATAGTCCTATCCCAGGGGTGCGCTTCGTTGCACGCGTCCGTAGAAACTAGGTCACGCCGCAGCCATCCCAAGGGGCGAGTTAGCCCGCGATCTTTGCCAAATGCCGCAGTTGTCAAGCATACGAGTTGCGCTCGGTCCACGACAGTGAGCCAAAGAGATTATAACACGGATAAATGCAAATCATTCGCTCCGCCGACTCTTTTTGATACTGTAGTGTTGTCTCGAGACCTCAGTGGGGTGCGCCGCGCGCAAAGTGGGCGGGGTGACCTACTTTCGACGGACGCGCGCAACGAACATTCTCCCTATCCCAGCCTGTGCGACATGCGGCTGTCGCACGTATACAAGTGTCTGGGAGGAAACAATTTCGGATAAATATTCGCTGAGCAAGCCTTTTATCCCTCTGAAGTCGACCTATTGGTATAAGATATGTTTGAGAAAACAAAAGCACTGAATTGCTAACTGGCTGGGTAACACAGGGCATTGTACAGACCACATTCAAAACCCCAAAACAAATTCGAATGAAATTCGAATGCAGGGCGCATTCCAAACCAGGATAGATTGACGTCAAAGACTTCTAGATTTTATTTTATATACCTTTCTCATTTCGAGGCAGTCTTGAGACGCAAGTTGTATTCTTGCTTCGTGTTTCATCGCTGCGACACATTCTTTCTTAAAGAAATATTCGCCAGTATAAAGTAGAATTAGATAGCAATCTGTGATTCAAACACATTATGAGACTTTTTCAGACACATACACAAAAATATAAACTTCTATTGTATTTGAGTGTAAAAGACTATATGAAGGAGTGTTAAAGACACAGTTCACGATAATTCGAGGGGCGGGAAAGCCCCGCTTTTCCGCCCCTCAATCGATATCACGTCAGACGAGTGTCGAGACAATACAGATTGCTATCAAACGTTCTAGGTCCCACACACAATCAGCTGGTCGCCGAGTGATGAGGCGATGTTTTTCTCCCATTCTTTATTCCTTTGTTAGTCTTTTTGGTGCTGCGATTCCTTATTTAATTTCCTACTCCTAAAAGCTGAAAAAAGTGAGCTACTTTTGGTGTTGCTAGGGGTTTTTTTGTTTACGTATGCTTATAAGTGAATGAATCTTTGCTTACCGTAGTCTGTTTTTCACACCAGGACCCACACTTACGCAATGAGATACATTGTATAGCTCGCCACTCTTATTCAATTTTCTGATTTCATCCTCGTCCAACCCCCTTCTTAACGATTTTTTGGAACCTTTTTTCACTTCGGAAACACCGATTCATGCAGTGTCTTCGTCTTCATCTCACTATTTTCGATCTTGTCTTCCATTTTTCATTATATAATCTGGATTACCCGATATTATCGTGAACTGTGGCTTTAAAATTGCGGAAGTAGATTACTTCTGAACTTCAGATGGAACTGCTATGTGGGTGGGTTTTGTTGGATTTCAAGTAAGGGTGAAAAAAAAAACACCGCACGAGGTAACAGCAGAAGTGAAACGGACGAAATACTCCTCAAAACATCTCTATACCATTAATGGATGCCTGTATTGGACATGTTATGCTGAATTTGAGGTCTTCTTGGTCCAGCAGATCACGACAAATTGGAGGTATTTAGTTTGAGAAGAATAATTGAAACTTTGGTACAGAATAGTGTAAAAATAGCGAAGAAAGCGCGAGAATTTGCATATTTCAGGAAATACAAAGCTTAAAGAAGTAGTGGGAAAGTATTAGGTTGATGTATAATTACTGCGAATTTTTTCAAACATATTTTACCCAAAGGAACGGTAGAAATATTTTGGAAAGAAATGTTCAAATAATTACTATGGAACATATCCACCATCTATGTCAAGCATTGCTTCTCATTTACTATGCGGTCGGATTCCACAGGCGAAGAAATTTCAATTTTTGAAGGCGATCCACGCCTTCACTTCGGCCATCATGTCATCCAATTCGTCGAAAAGTCTGTTCGCTAGCCAATTTTTCAACGGGCGATTGGCGTGATAATCCACAGGAGTTGCTGTTGGTGAATAGGGCGATCGTAGAAGCAAATTCCATTCCTTATTCGGCTTTGGCTGCCTGTTCCATCGTCGAGAAGTCCGTTGAGATCACCTTATGGCTGTGCCACCTTGCAACCTTTCTCGAAGTAATAGAGCGTAATGTGGTGTATACGAAGATCACTTTCTGATCATATTTCTGTTGAGAAAAGTAAGAAGTTTATTTCTATTAAATCCCAAATTCAGAAGTTTAATTCCATCGAGAGATAAGAAGCCGCGAAAAAATCCGCATTAACTATGCATCAACGAATTATAATAACTGTGCGACATATCTGTGATCGTCTAGGTGCCTCTCACATGAGCGTACTATTCAACTTCATCCCAAAGCCTTATTGAGATTGGTGCAGCGTTAAAAAGGACGTAATATCACGTTTACGTTTGGGTAAGTAGGCCAGGAAAGTTTTAGAGCTTTTACTCCAACTCGACAAATCGTTATTCGACCAGACAGTGTCCTCCTTCCTTTCTGGGTCTTTCTAGTGAAAATTTTGAAAGACAATTACTTCGTGAATTAGGCCATAAGAACTCGATTCATACAAAAATTACTTGATTGCTAATTTTCAAAATTTTGCCCTCCTACTCCCCCACTCCAGGTAACCTGTAACCTAACTATATAAATATTTCTCAAGTTAGATAGTGTTCCACTGTTTTTGAAGCTTAAATATTAATTTGAAGTCTTCCAACTGACTAGTCAATTCAACTGCTATTGAAAAACGGACCTGATAATTGAAAAAAACAAAGTTCCGTTTCTCCATAATGTTTTCCACGGTGAACTTTGTGGAATTGGATCCTGTACCACTTTGAAGGGAACGTCGACTGTTTTCACCTTTCTAGCAAAATGATATCATTTAAATATTCCATAAAAGCAGAGTAACTCTTTTACCTTTTCACTTAATGACTCAAGTGATATATATGGTATACGCCACATTTGATTTAAGCGTTCGGTTTCTTTCCTTTTTAATCTGAACTATCCACTGTGAAAAAGCTATCTTTGTCTTAGCATTTATGAAAACCTATAAAAATTTGAAAACTCACTGGATCATATAGAAAACGACAAAAATAATGGTAAATACGACGGCCATAACCAGTAGGCCACCAACGATGACCCAAACGAGGTATACGTCGATGAAGTTCAGAGGACACTGTAATTGTAATTCACTTTGTAATACAGATACTGTACTCGGCTCGAATTGCCACAATGGTATTAATTCGGAACGGACACAAAAATATAGCATAATCTACAGATATTACTATAATACTTATATTGTGATGGTTGAATAGAAATCTTACTTGCAGTCATGTTACTTCTTTCATGCCCCGAGATATTAAGTTGGCGCATAAGTCTTTGTACTTTTTGGTTTCCATGTTGTGAAATCTTTGGGGATTGTTCTACCACCTTCATTGCGGATTATGTGTAAATGCAGGTCAATGCGCTCTCCATACCATATCTGCCGTAGCATTTCGCAACGATAAGGCTGCAAGAATCGCTCTCATTCGAGTTAGACCGCTTCTACTTTATGGGTTCAGAAGAAACGTCAGCGCGAAGCATGCGACAAGGAACATA